TGGATTTTAAATCAACTGATCAAGATGAGATTGTAGCACAGACTTCCAGCTTTAGTTCAGCACATTTTTAGAGACTAAATCCATTTAAAGTCATGTTTTTAAAAGTCCTCAAAAAGAAGAAAACCAAATTAAAGGATATCTTCACAATTTCAAACATATAGTTTTATACTGTTAAAAACTCATCTTTTTAAACTTGCTTTTGGTTGATTTTTGTTTCTATGTTTTCACTTCTCTGTGAAGCAGTGTTTTTATCTTGAAAGGTGCTATACAAATAAGATGTTACTTTATTTACTTACTTTTATGTCTTTCCAGGGGCTTAGCTTTGCAGGGAATGCCACTTACATGTTATGTTTGGTTGTCTTATCTCCATCTTGATTACCAGAGACAAGTATGAAAGTTGTTAATGAAAGCTAGAGAAACTGTAACTCTCCTTCTGATTTGCATTTCCTGACGTTTCCTGTTGTTTTTCTCCTGTTAGGTATGATGCAGGCCACAGCTGGCTTCTTCACATATTTTGTCATCCTGGCTGAAAATGGTTTCCTCCCCATGGACCTGATAGGACTCAGAGTGCTGTGGGATGACAAATATGTAAATGACCTGGAAGACAGCTATGGGCAGCAGTGGGTCAGTCACACTTATGCTTAAATTTAATTGGAGTTTCAGTCTAGGAAAAGGAAAACATTCTAATCTTTTCCTTTTTATTTTATTCTGTTCCAGACATATGAGCGCAGAAAGATTGTAGAGTACAGCTGCCACACAGCCTTCTTCGCCAGTATTGTGATCGTGCAGTGGGCTGATCTGATCATCTGTAAGACCAGGAGGAACTCCATTGTGCAGCAAGGAATGACGTATGTACACATAGAGATGCTTGAGATCTTCAAATGACAACTGGGTCTTTATATTTGAGTAATTGTAAATAAAATCAAAGACATTACTGATGAGATGGCTTCAAGCCACAATGACAGTTTGGTACTGTGTTGCATGCTTTCCTATGACAAGAACATCAATATGTCAGGTAATTTTAAGAGTAGGAGCTTTTGTTGTATTGACCCGTACCTTTTTTTTTTCATCCCCACAGGAACCGCATCCTCATCTTTGGGCTCTTTGAGGAGACGGCTCTGGCTGCCTTCCTTTCATACTGCCCAGGCATGGACGTTGCCCTCAGAATGTACCCTATGAAGTGAGTCAAGTACACAAACAGAACCATCCTGTGACTCATGACTTTAAAATTAGCTTCCAAGATAATTTCGTAGGCTCCAATAATCATGCAGAACGTTTCCTTTTTCACTGTTGGCTTTTGTTGATATCCCACTTTGTGTGTCTGTTCAGTTTATGTGAGGACCTCGCTGAGCACAAGGCAACTTTTGTTCAAGTGTGAAAAGCCTTCTTTCTGCAAATTTGCAGACGTCTCTGGTTGTTGGATCCTTCCGGAGGTTTCTCGTACATCACTTAGTGCAGACAACCCTTTGAGAGCTTCATGTTTTTAGTTTGGTGATGATCTCGTTGAAAATAAGATGGCTATTATCTAGTGTCACTGGTAATTTCCACTTCAGAGGCAGAGCGAAGCACAAGAGATGCTATACTAATGAGTTTCTTTGCCCAAAAGAGGAAAATAGAAAGCATTGAGGCTCATTAGCTCATGAGTTCACACGCTACTTTCCTCTGTCACCTTTATTCATCGGTTTCCCATGGATCTGTCTCTCCTTTCTCACCTTCTTCATTCACCTGTTTCTTTGGGTATCTTGTGATGTTCAAATAACCCCAGCTTTTTATTCTCCGTGTTTACATGTGTGTCCCAGACTCTAGCTTCTGTTTTGTTCTTTCTAAGTTATTTCTCTCTTTACCTCTGTAAATATCTTATGCAGATTAAAGGTGCTGAGCATATCTGTCTGACACTATGCCCTTCTGGGGTATTTTATTGGGTAAAGACAGGGGTGTAGGCCCCTGCTCTAGTTCTAAGACACTTATAGAATCACACAAACCTCCTCTAGAAGTTTTGTGGATTTGTTTTCAGGGCTTTGCATTAGTGGGCTTTTAGCAGCCTCGTTAGCGTCGCCAGAGAGCACTCTCAAAGAGATGAACAGGATATGTCCTCAACCCAGCTGTCAGATTTCTCTGCCTCATTTTGTTTCAACGGCTTCTGAATTCATTTAATAGCCGGTTCTCCACAGCCTAATGCTCACCCCAAAAGCTTTTCTGTTCAAAAGAGAAGAGCGTGCTTGTGTTGGGGGTTTTTGTCACATTCCCATTAATAATTCAACCTGTCTGTCCATCCTTACCTTTAGGCCATTGTGGTGGTTCTGTGCCTTCCCCTACTCCCTCCTCATCTTTGTTTATGATGAAGCCAGAAGATATATCCTCAGACGCAACCCAGGAGGTAAGAGCTTCACTAACTCTTGACATATATAACTATCTGAGGCCCCTAGGACACATTTTTGCCTGTATTCTCAGTATTTTAATCTGAATGTAGTGGGGCACAGAGCGATTTTTTACTTGACAAAAAGTCAGATGCAGAAAAATGTGCTGCGTTGCTTAAAATATGTGCTCTTTGCACATTTGGAAAGAAGAGGATCATATTTTTGCATATTTGGGAGGTGATTTTCTCAAAAACTCGCCCCACACATTGCAATAATCTCGATGCATGAAAAGCACTGAAGGCAGAGGAAAAATGTGTCCCTTTAACGTAATTAAACCGCGTAAAAAAAAAAAAAAAACATCTGAATGCGAGACCTTCTTTTTTGCTATTTTTTGACAAACACACGGGATTGAAAACACGACTGCAAAGTAGTGAAATATTGATGGCTTTAAAAGGTGTTGAAACTTCTAAAAAAACCCACAAAAACAAACAAACTCCCTCCAGCGGCTGATGTCAGTCTCATTGATTCATTGAGGCTGACATCACAGAGCAAAGGCAGCAGCAGCTTTGTGAAGGTGCCCACTGTACTGTGTAAAAATGAGACACAGGTGTGTGTGTGTGTGTGTGCATGCGCGCTCAGCAAAAGTGGCGTATGCCTCTCGCGAGTCTATTTTTCGTGGATACTCGTGCCCAGTATTGCTGCCACAACTGCGTCCCTACACTGACCAGTGAGCTGAGGCAGATGGCAGAGCCCGGTGGGATTTGAACCCCCAACCGTGGTGTAGTTAATGCATCATTCCACCCACAAAGCTGAACAGAACCTGTACGAAGGGCTGGCTCTGAAGCAGCTGTGAAAGTGCGTGTGCGCTACATCTGAGACCCACGGCACAGATCAGTGAACATCCCACTGCCCATCCATGGTGAATAATGTGTTACATTCAGACAGGAAAAAACACAAGTTGAGCTGACATGGTTTCTAGCAACTTTAGCTTTTTTTCCCCTTTTCTTTCTTCTTTTTTGAAAGCGCTAGCAAATAAATACTTTTTCCCCTCCATAAATAGCCCAAAGTGAACTGCCCTTAGATAATTTTTAACTTTTTTAAAATTATTTTTTAACTCACAGTTTCTCCCAAAAGTGAAACCCAACATGCTAAATGGTATAATTCAAGCATTTAGAGCAGGGATGTCAAGCTCATTTTACATCGAGGGCCACATACAGCCCTTTGATCTTAACTGGGCCCTTTCTGTCGTTGTACCAAAGTTTAAGTGCAGATTTAATCCCTCTGATATCTATAATATAAGAAAAATAAGTGAAATAATAACCAAAACAGAGGCATTTCTATAGTAGGTGGTCATCTATGACATGATTTTATTATTTACTTTATCACTGTAGGATGATTAGTATGCATGGGGTGGTCTTTATCAGTAGGTAAAACTGAAAGATTTATGAAAATACAGTTAAAAATCCAAGATTTATGCCCTCCCTCACTTTGTCCAAAGATGTCCAGCGGGCCAGATTGGAATCTTTGGCAGTCCTGGCGCCTTATGTTTGACACCAAACAGAATTTTGGTATTAGGACCACTCTCGCCATTCATTTTTACTGGATTTTATGTCCATCTAATGATATAAAACCCAAACATCTAACTTTTGAGCTACAGGGTCATTTTATGTGATTCTTTCAGTCATTTTATCCCAGGGTGATTATTCATGGCCTCACTGATTGTGTAACCTCATAAGCAACCATGAAACAAAAATGACACAGCCTCTCCAGTCCCTTCAGGGTACATCTTCTAATGGCCGCATTTTCCCTAAATTTAGCATGCAGTCTCTCGCACACGGCCCAAGCTCAGTCAAGTCTTATTTCTTCGAATCACTGTCAGCCAGCATGAGGGGTGAAATCTTTCTGAGCGCGAGGTTTGAGGCCAAAGCCGTTTTAGATGTGGCTGTCGTGTTGTATTCCATCTTTGTTTTTCTCTGTAAAAGACAACGAGACAAATTTGAGCCCTACACTGTGAGAAAGATTAAAATTTTTTTAAAAAACTCCCTAATTGTGTCTCCTTTGCTTTCTAGGTTGGGTGGAGAAAGAGACATACTACTGAGCCAACGCCACACAGACACGGAGGGAGCGTGTGCTTCATTACTATTTAATGCCATGTTACATATTTGTTTGAGATATTAGACCCCCCCCATTAATAACACCACAAAGCATGGATAGATTAAGATTATATTGATGTGTGTTTCTTTCCCAATAAAACATTCCCACTGTTCACTGAGGCTGCTTGCATGATTGCCTGTCTCTCTGATGCCTTTGGACTGGAAACTGTGTTTCGGGAACTCGATTCAGGATGTTCCGAGGTTCAGCAGATACATACCTGTGAGTCAGGCGCAATGACCCGAGCAGTGGGATTATCCACCTCAACAGTCTTCACTGCAGGAATTGAATATGAAGAGCTTAATGGGGAACAAGCAAGATGTCTCAGGGAAGGAGAGATATTTTAGGGCATTTTCACAGGAAAGCATGATCATCATTTACCATCAATTAGTAACTTAGTAGTAATTAGTAACCAGCAGCTGGCTTGTGACATCCTAAAAAATTTCAAATTCCTACTTTTAAAATCTGAAAATCAACTAAAATCTGAGGGAAGTTTGGATATTATTTTGATTAGGGAGACTAGGAGAGTTCAGACTGTATTGAAGTATTGAAGAATAAAGGTGGTCAGAACAAATATTGACTTTCAAATTCAGTAATTATACAAACTCTGTTTTTGCCTCATATACTGTATTTCCATTTTCATGTTCAGTAAACAGCTGTATTTTCCTCGCAAAAATGAGGAACAAGCACACTGAAACAATGTGTGTGTGTGTGTGTGTGTGTGTGTGTGTGTGTGTGTGTGTGTGCTTAAAAGTGTCTCTATTATCTCAAGAGCCACGTCTGTCACAGCAGTGTTTGCAATGGATTGGGCTGTTGACCGCTAATGCAAAGAGGGCCTCAGTGAAAATGAACTGAAACCACTCTAGTGCTATCTACTTTGTGTTTACACTGGTCATTATGATCGCCCCTCAACCTGTCTTGTGTGTCTGTCTGTGTGTGAGTATCTGTGACCAACCTGGTCACAGATGGCCAGCTTCTCACACACACACACACACACACACACTTGGGGGGAAAGTGCTTGAGCCAAAAGAGTAATCTTTCAGGTGATTTCTTCCACAGCAGAGGGTGCTGCTGCGAGACAGAGTCAAGAGTCTGCAGACAAAAGGATGGAGGGATGTAGAGGAAAGAGGGACAAAGAATGGGGTCGATAAAAGTGAGTCAGGGTGACGATGAGGAAGGGACTGAGTTGGGGCATGAGAAACAAAGGCAGGCATTAATTTGTGTTTTTAGGGGCTGACATTATGAAGCTTAGTTTATGGGTTTCTGCTCACTGCTTTGAGAGAAAACGAGGCTGCAGACAGACTAACATTATCATGTCTTCAGCCCCCCCCCACACACACACACACCCCTCCACTCCCCCACCCCTAGTCCTGCCCTCCTTCACAAGCAGGGCCCCTGAACGTGCCTGTTGCTATGGCAACTCATTTGAGAGCCCTCTCTCTCTCTTTCTCTAACATCTAAATAAAATCTTGGCTATTTATAGCACAACACTGGCAACATGCAAGCCACATTTAATCGTGCACCCACAAATGGGAATGCAAAACAAAAATGCAGTAAACAGGCAACTGCACATGTGCAGTAATACACAGGAGGACGTATAGGCTTGTGTGCACACCCGCCTCCTCTATGCCAAGGCTTGCTGCTGTGCGTCCATCTGTGAATTAAGTCCACCTGTGGGTTTTGTTTGTTTACCCCTGCTTTGGGGTATTTTTTTCTCATCATATTTCAGAGCAGAGATGGTCTGATAAGCAACCATGGAGTTAATGTGTGTGTGTCTGTTGAACTCCTTGCTGAAGTCCGCCATTGAAATCTTCCCGTTGTCTGTTTGATCTATCTCAGCTTTATCTTGACACTTGCCGCAGAGTGCTCTCCAGGCCAGCTGATAAAGTCTGTCAGAATACACAGGGATCCAGACAGCGAGTGACACCGTTTACCTATCGGGACACAATAGCACTCCGTAACTGCAGGCTCATATTGCCCTGCCCCGGTCTACTTCATTCTTGAGAAGGTCGCTCTCAAAGCGTAATCTGTCACAGCCTTCTGATGCGGCTGGTTCGAACTGCAGACAGGAGACAGGAAAGCAATGAGGGGGGAATTATAAATGTGGGTTTGCCCTCGAGATTTACGGAATCTGAAGCCTTGGTGGAGCTTTGGCATGAGGCTGTAACTTTCCTTTTTTTCCCCCTCTGGCCATATATATACGACAGCAAGTGGCTGACTGTTTCTGGTTTCAAGCTTACATGCAGGGATGAAAGACTAAATCTCTCATTTGTGTTGTGGGATGAAAGGGTTTAAAAGCTCATGGAACAGATGCAAATGGCCATAAGAGTGCTGCTGCTGCTGCTGCTGCTGCTGCTGCTGGGGTAGTGTACGGCAAAATCTTGCTGCAGTGTGATAGTCAGTGGGCTCTCGGCACAGATCCATCTACCTTGCAATCTCCGCAGGAGGTGGTCAGAGGTTGGGCGGTGTTCTGGAGCTGGTATATGTTCAAAGTATATGTGGCCTAGTACCAGGGGAGAAAAAGGAAACAATAGGCTGGCTGGTCAGAGGGAAAGAAGGGAAAAGTGTCAAGGCGCCCCAGGGCAGAATGGAGGCTTGGGATGCTAATGAATTTTGACGTGATAAACCAACAAAACAGATAAGCTTTTATAAGCTTTTGTCTGCTTATAACCTCAAAACCCACGACAAGCCTGGTCAGACTATACTGCGAGCATGAGTGTGCCTTTTTTTCTGCAGCTAGAGATTCAGAAGCAGGGGCTTCAAAAGTTGGCTGCCCGCTATCAGCACGCAACAACCTTGTCAAAGCAGCAGGGGAAGGGAGGTGTCTGCGAACCCAGCTGTTAAGCCGGGAGAGGTGTAGATGAATCAGGAGTGTGTGTGCATGTGTGTGTGTAGTAGTTTGCTAACAGCGGGGTGTTAGTGGTGGGCCTCTTTTGTGCAGAGCTGAAGTTTAAAGCAATAGTTCAACATTTCTGGTGAACAGTCTTTCTTGGTTGGTACTTTGATTCTAAGCTCACATTAAGCTGTCCTTTAATGAGGATTTAAAAAGTATAGAAATGATATGAGTATAGTTCATCTAGATGGTTACCTTCATATTTAAGTGTTTCTTCTATAAAAGGGTTTGAAGGTGCCAATATTGCTGGTCACAGAGGCTAACCACATTTCGATTTAATTTACAAATAGATAGGACCTTGAAAACATATTTGTCCTCATTTATTAAGGGAAAATAAGTATCCACCTATCTGGCACTGTGCCAGTGTTAGTATTTCACACAAGAACTGGTAATGAAGTAGGCTACAGTTTCTCAAAAATTAATGCATCAAAGTCAATGACACCTATCAAAACCATTTCTTTTTTTTTGTTTTTTTTTTATAAATTTTATTTTCAGTCACAGCAGCATGTTAATAACAAAACATTGAACATACAGTAGTTTGCTGTTCAGTATTTACAATACCCCAAAAGATAACAGAAATAGAGAAGGAAAACAAACAAACAAACCAAAGAAACCCCTACAAAACAACAAAAAACAAACAAACAACAACAAACACCAACTCCAGCCGGCCTTTCTGTCTGGCTAAGCGCTGTATCCGCTCCTTCTCCTGGTAGTAATGAATGCAAACAATGAACGGCCGCGGTCGCCCTCCCTCCGTGGGCAGCACAACCGCCGCCCGGTGAGCTCTGTCCAGGATCGGAGCCTGCTCCAAACCGCTGGGACCACCCAGTACAATGTGCAACAGATCAGCAACAAATTTAGTGGGATTCCCTTGTTCGGCTCCCTCCGGCACTCCTAATATACGCAAGTTGCATCGTCTTCCCCGATTCTCCAAGTCGTCCGTTTTCAGCAGCAACTTCTTGTATTGGTTAGAACCATTTCTAAGGCTTTGGGACTCCAGTGAACTACGGTGAGTGCCATTATCCACAAGTGGAAAAACATGGAACAGCGACGAACCTTCAGGAGTGGCCGACGTACCAAAGGTACTCTAAGAGTGCATCGTCGACTCATCCAGGACATTACAAAACCCAGAAAAACACCCAATGAACTGCAGGCCTAACTTGCCTCAGTTGAGGTCTAAGTTCATGATCCAACAATAAAAAAGAGACTGGACAAAAATGGCATCCATTTCCAAGGAGAAAACCACTGCTGACCAGAAAAAACATCTTGATGATACCTGAGACTTTTGGGAAAATATTTGCTGGACTCACGTGACAAATGCGGAACTTTTTGGAAAGTTTGAGTCTGATTACGTTAGACATCAAACAGAAAATCATAACAAGATCATAATACTAACATTTAAACATGGTGGTGGTAGTGTGATGGTCTGGGGCTGCCCTGCTGCTTCAGTACAACTTGCTGTGATTGATGGAACCATGAATTGTGCTCTCTAGCAGAAAAAACATTAGTTAATGCCGTGAAGCTCAAGAGCACTTGCGCTATGCAGCAGGACGATGATGCGAAACACACCAGTAAGTCCACCTCAGACTGGTTAAAAAAAATAAAATGAATATTTTGCAGTGCCCCAGTCAAAGTCTGGACTTACATCAGATTGAGATGCTCTGACACAACTTTAAATGTTGCATCAGAGCACATTGTGTCAATATACCTGAAATAAGTGGCACAACCAGTTATTAGGTTTAGGCTTTGCACACAGTGGAAGTGAATTCTCATCATGCATCGCACCAGCTGGTTGCTTGATGACATTACAGGCTCAGGTTCCCAAGATGACCTGCTAATGTATTTATCAGTTGGTCATATGTCAATCAACATTATTCTTCACTCTGATCATCACACTTTCCATCCAAAGTTAACTTCCGTAGTTGCTTGAAGTCACCAAAAATCATGCACTTTCTATGTTCTCTGGTTGCCACGTTGCTGCAAATCAGTTCCATTGGGTAATACAGGAACGGATAATCATTTAAAAAAAAAAGAAAATTGTAATTCTAATACAAATTATGTCCACTATTAAAATTTCTAAAACATGTAAGTGTCACAAATATGTAGAAGACTAGGAAATAAGGAAGGGGTCATAGACTTTGTAAGCTAGCAATGTTCCTCAAAAACAAATAGTTCTTTCAGTGAATGAGCAAAGATACATAACATTTAACATTTAGAAAATTAACAGCT